ACTGAAGCGAGTGCGAATATTGAAGCAAACTAGCCCTGGGGTTGATATTCGTGCAGTGGTAAGAACTTGATGCTGTATCTTAGGTATGTCTTCTGCATTTATGGTTTTGAAAAAAATGGTTGCTTGTAGGCTGGAAGAATTGCTTTTGGAAACGACTTTCTAATTGTGTTTCATTTTCTGAAAAGCAAAATATTTGTTTTCCGGAAAACATGTAGAAGACAACTGCTTTATTTCTTAGAACAAACATACCAATTAGTGGAGATTAAACAAACAATGTATTTACCATGTTATCTAAAAACGATTTTACATATATACATGTCTGTGTTTGACCTCATTCTAGAGAGAATGAGTGAAGAGGCAGATTGCATTCCGATTTCTGCCATGGTTGAGCAATAGAAATCTGGATATTGGCATGAATATTTCGGAATATTGATCCATGGATTTTGATAAGTGTTTTCATATTTTGAAGTGATTAGTTTGTATTAACTAGAGCCTCTAGTACATAAAATGTTTGGCAATGAGCTGCAACTCAGACCTAATGATACATTAAGCTGACTGAAGTTTGTTTCTGCACTACTGCTGATTGGTGCGGCTATTGGCAATTTGTGCAACCCTAGGGTTGGTCTATATGACGGAGAAGTGAGCTTAATGGTCAGTTTGGTCTTTTTGCGAGTCAGAACTATTGATAGCTTACAGCATAGTTTGGTCTTTTTGCGAGTCAGAACTATTGATAGCTTACAGCATAGTAGTGCATGTTAACTTGTTATCTTTTGCTCGAATATGACAACCCACTAATTTTGAGTCAAGTCAGTTTTAATGCATCTTCATAAAATTCTTTTGCCCCCTGAGAGCCATAAAGTATATATTCCCTCCGTCCCAATTTATGTGACACTCTTTCCTTTTTAGTCTGTCCCAATAAGAATGTCACCTTTCTATATTTAGAAACAATTTAACTTCAAAATTTTCATTTTACCCTTAATGAGATGATTTATGGCCACACAGATGTAGAAGACTTATTCTAGACCACAAATTTCAAAAGTTTTCCGTTCTTTCTTAAGCTTCCTGCCAAATCAAACGGTGCCACATAAATTGGGATGCAGGGAGTATTTCTTTTGGAATACTGCATATTTACGACTTTTTTTGGGTAAAAGCATATTTGAGAAAATGTTCTCCTTATAGCTGCTTGAACTTTATTGTTGAGCTGTTCTTTTTGGAAAGGAGGCTATAGGACTTGAAAATGGAACAATTGCTTTTAATTACTTAACTCATTTTGACAACCACTGAGAGTGCTCAGTTGGTCCTTTCTAACTGCTTTAAAATTTTCTTTTCCAGGGATCTGACATTGCACAGGGTACTATCGTAATGCAATCTGGGGAGCGATTAGGTGCTGCGGAAATTGGTCTACTTGCCACAGTAGGTGTTGTCACAGTGAAGGTATTTGTTTTATTTCCTTGCAGTTTCAATGCTATATAACTCATAATGGCTGCCTATTTCTTATGTTGCATTTCGGATTGCTGATATACAGGTTTACCCTAGTCCAAAAGTTGCCGTCTTATCAACAGGGGATGAGCTTGTAGAACCAACAGTTGGGAGATTAGACCGTGGTCAGGTTGTGGAAGCTACTATGACGTTCCTTTTAAAGAAAAATTACCTGATGCTCACAGTGGCGATGCAGTTGCCATGATAATAACACTTCTGTCTGCATTAGTTTGTGACTTCAAAAAGAAGCACCTTAATCTGAATATCTAAAACATCTCATCTATAATATCATTATTCTGGAATGTTGAGCATAGATATCTAAATTGTTTGCATTCACGCTTCGAAATCCCATTTAGTTTCACCTCAACGCCGCTCTTCTTATGCTGACTAAACTTGCAGTGCATATATTTAGCTTTACTTCTACTTATCCTAAAACCCTTAATCTCTAGAATCCTTCTCCAAAATACAAGCTTTTGGTTGATTCCCTCGCTGGTTTCGTTAATTAGCACTGTTAAGCTCGATATTAATTGAAGCAATGTGTTTTGATCTCGTTACATGGTATTGGACAATCCTCCCCTCAAGAGCTAGGTTTTGAGATTCAGTTAGGCCCAATGTCTATTTCTTCACATAGTATCGTAGCCAGACTCAAGCTATCCCTGTTGTTGGGTTTCTCAATGTTAGGCTCCGTGTTATGTTATCGATGCTCCAATTGTCCAGTCTTGGGTGTGCGAGGGATTAAAGTCCCACATTGATTGAGAGTGGATTGTGGTCTCCTAATATGTCTTGGGCAATCCTCTCCTGAAGAGTTAGACCAAAGATCCATTTCTTCACAAGCACAATATCGTCAACAAGTAGCATGCACTATAGGACCTCTTCTTACATTATATTACATTTGTTGATATATCAACAAATATTTCAACCAATTTGAATTTTATATTATTCTTAGAAAACCTTTATCTTTTGGACCTGTTCTCTTACAATTTCAAAACCATGGTGAAACTTCGTCAACTAAATATTGAGAAATATCAATTATAGAACATTCACTTGTGCACCCATAACCTAATCGTACTTGTCAGATTGGGTGTTATTCTTTCGCTAGCTTGCAGCTTTTCTTTCATGGAAATTCTTCAATAAATTTCCTTTTTCTATTATTCGTATATTGATGAGATTTCGTCAACTAAATATGAGGAATCTGTCTTCCTTCCTTTCTTTCTTGTTATGCTCAGGTATCTTATACATAATTCCCTCCTGTTCATTGTATGGTTACTATAGTACTTGTAATTGACTACATTATTTGCAAAGATATTCGCCTCTGGCGTATTTTACTTAATTTCTATTTGTCACAAGCAGATTAGGGACTCCAATCGTGCAATGATCCTAACTGCTGCAACACAGCAGCAATGCAAAGTTCTCGATCTCGGTATAGCTCGTGACGATGAGCAGGAGATTGAGACGACGCTAGACAATGCATTTGCTTCTGGAATTGACATCCTTGTCTGCTCTGGAGGTGTTTCCATGGGAGACCGGGATTTTGTGAAGCCTTTACTTCAAAAGAAAGGGAGAATATTGTTTCAGAAGGTAATGCTGGCAATTTCTGTTTACAGATTTTGGGAACTTGTATTTTCAAAGGGTAATGCTCACTGCGTATGCTTATGGGATTGAGCTGGGAGCGTGTGCTATACATTAATGTTTCTTTCTTGTATCTACACACGTCTTGTATCTATGGAATCAGAGAAATAATTACTTTAGGGCTTTTTCACTTTTGTCTGGTGGCCCAATATAATTACGGGCTGTAGCTCAAATATACAAAACATATACCGTGATTATGTATATTGTATGTATATTTATGTATATTGTATGTATATACACAGATATACATCAGTGTTTCTTCTTTGTATATACACACGTCTTGTATATATGAAATCAGGGAAATAATTACTTTATTTGCATTCTTTGCAAATCCAGGTTCTCATGAAACCAGGAAAGCCTATCACATTTGCTGAGATCGTTCCCAGATCATCCAACGGGACTTCCGGGAAGATTCTTGCATTTGGGCTACCTGGAAATCCCGTGAGCTGTTTAGTCTGTTTCCATCTCTTTGTGGTTCCAGCCATTCGACACATCTCTGGGTGGGCAAACCCTCATCTTCCAAGGTTGCCAAGAGTGCCCCTCAATCCTTTTTCTATTCAACATTTGGTTGATTAATAGTCGTTCAATTTCACTAAAGCAGTATCTGTTTCTAATAATTGTAGAGTGCAAGCTCGTGTAAAGCATTCAATTAAGACAGATCCTTTCCGTCCAGAATACCATCGAGCTATTATCTCCTGGCAGTTGAACGATGGGTCGGGTTCCCAAGGGTAAGCAGTCTTATTTTCTGTTTTTGTTTCTCTTTCTTTCAGAACATGCAGTTCCATCCAACTATAATCCTTGAACAGTAAATTTTGAGAGTTAGTTTCATATCATTTTCCAAATGTATTCATCAAAATATCATTTTCCAAGAAGGGGAGCCTTGGCGTAACTGGTAAGTTGCTGCCATGTGACCAGGAGGTCACGGGTTCGAGCCGTGGAAACAACCTCTTGCAGAAATGCAGGGTAAGACTGCGTACAACAGACCCTAGTGATCCGGCCCTTCTCCAGACCCCGCGCATAGCGGGAGCTTGGTGCACCGGGCAGCCCTTAAAGTATCATTTTCCAAATGCACTTACTGGTGTCATAGATGCTGGTTTTCCTGGATTTTTAGCCTATTGTAGCTCCCTTGTTTATTCTTTGTCCAATGTATCGCATATTGCAAATTATGAAGTGCTTAATATACGATCTTTTTCAGTGATAAAAAATCATTTGATGTGAATGCTATTCATTTTACTTTGCTTTGTAGTCTTGGATGTACAATATTTCATGAAGTCCAAATTTGACCTATTTGTAACACATTCGTGCTTTTAACCGGTACATAGATCATAAGATTGTACATTTTTGCTTCTTCATTGTTTCTCCTGTAAAATCCTAAGGGGTTGTTTGGTTCAAATCCTAAAAGATTCATTTGAACCCAAGTAGAGCAGGCGATTCATTCATTGGTTGATATTTTGTTTCGGGGAAGGAGAGAAGAGGGGTCAAGATTAAGATGTCCAATACTTCGTTCATACTTTATTAGCAGACTGTTGCAGTGGATGGCATCAAATGCTTCTTTTTCCCCTTTATGATTTACAGGTTCATGGCTGAGAGTACAGGTCATCAAATTAGCAGTCGACTTCTCAGCATGAAGTCAGCCAATGCTTTATTAGAGCTTCCGGCTTCAGACACTTCATTACCTGCTGGTGCTTTAGTGTCTGCAATTTTGATTTCTGATATAAGCAATTCGCCAGGGAGCAGGAGTTTGCAATTGCCAGACTTGAGTAGCGTCCAACAAGAACATAAGCCAGCAGCTGCAAATACTGGCAGTTGTGAAGATTCTGAATTTAGGGTAGCTATTCTTACAGTAAGTGATACTGTTGCCGCAGGATTGGGACCTGATCGCAGGTAATTTATAGCAGGGAGCCACTTCTCTTCTATATTTGCCATTGTATCAAGTTGCTCCTTTGTTTTGACCTTATGTTCCATATATTTCAATATTTCATAATATCTTATTACATGCACTCTTATCTTTTCTCCTTTCTTCCTTCTGCTTATTTTTCTACTCCTAAAGAGGACGACCTTCAAACTTTGTAGTCATGGGAAATCATTGTTAAGAAAGAAACTCTTATTTTCATTTGCCTCCATAGCCACTATAAATGACCTACATCTATCTCTCGGTAAAAATTACTTCATTTACTTGATTACTTCCAAGGCCACTATAAATGACTACTCTAACTACTCTATCTCTTGAGTGAACCACTCTTTGTCCACAAATGACTACTCTAACCAGTGTTGTCAAAGGCGAAAAGCTCTAAAAAGCGCTCTAGGTCAATTGGGGCTTTAAGCGCAAAGCGCAATTTAAGTGGGGGCTTTAGTTAAAAAAGGCGCAATGCTAGAAAAAATAAAAATATATATGTAATTCAATAGAAAAGTAACAAATTCATTTATATTGTTTTCCTTAACAACTAATACATTTATTTGCCGATTATATTTATAGTCTAGCATTGCTCCATTCAAGATAGAACTCATGGGCAATAAGGGGCATGTCTTGGTGCTCTGCCTCAACTTAAGTGAGGCGAAGCGCCCTCCCTGAGCTTTTTTGAGCTTTAGGGCTTAAGTGCGCCTTAAATGAGCCTTTGACAACATTGACTCTAACTACTCTCTATCTTGAGTTTACCACTCTTTGTCCGGAGACATATTGGCGCAACTGGCACACCACTTCTCAGTTTAAAATTGAAAGAGATGCATCAGGATACACCTTTTTGGTTCGTGATTCCAAAAGGGTCACTCTAGTGATGCAAAAGGAAAAGTGGCAAATCTGATATTGCTCCATGTAAAAGTGAAGCATGTGGGTACTCAGGCTCTTCTACGAATATTAAGCTACTTCCTATTACTTGGTGTTTGAATGACTTCTTTCCCCCACCTCTATCTTATAAAGAGAGAACTTGCATCAGGATACACCTTTTTGGTTCGTGATTCCAAAGGGGTCACTTTAGTGATGCAAAAGGAAAAGCGGCAAATCTGATATTGCTCCATGTAAAAGTGAAATGTGTGAGTACTCCGACTCTTTGCTACAAATATTAACTACTTCCTAGTGTTCGGTGTTTGAAGTGCTCCCTTCCCCCACCTCTTTTACATAAAGAGAGAAGTTGCATCAGGATACACCTTTTTGGTTCATGATTCCAAAAGTGTCACTTTAGTGATGCAAAGGGAAAAGTGGCAAATCTGATATTGCTCCATGTAAAAGTGAAACATGTGAATACTTGGACTCTTTGCTACAAATATTAAGCTACTTTGTTACTTGGTGTTTGAATGTCTCCCTTCCCCCACCTCTTTTATATAAAAAGTGAAGTTGCATTAAGATACACCATTTTGGTTCGTGATTCCAAAAGGGTCACTTTAGTGATGCAAAAGGAAAATAGCAAATCTGATATTGCTCCATGTAAAAGTGAAACATGTGAGTACTCAGACTCTTTGCTACAAATATTAAGCTACTTCCTATTACTTGGTGTTTGAATGGCTCGTGTATCGTTAATTAGGAACCCATCACTTTAGCTTCCAGAAGAGGCAAGGTTTACCATCCTAAATGATAAAACAACTGGGAGGATTCCTTGTGGTAGTCATGTTTGAGAAGTTGAAACTTCGCGGCAGGCATATGCACTTTGACAAGCCTTTCTCCCCAAAAGAATTAGCTCTGCTTCTATTTTTTCCTTGGTTTTTGCTGAGATAAAAGAACTACTGCTGTACAATTGATTTGATCTGATGGTATTTCTTTTCTTTCCACTTAAAATGTCTCATTTGCAAGTGAACATTTTGTCAAATGCGTAGATATTCTATTTTGGGTTCATCATAAGCTGATTACTTAAAAAAAAGGGCTACTCGGTGCACTAAGCTCCGGTTATGCACGGGGTCCGAGGAAGGGCCAGAGCGTATTGAGTATTTTTTACGCAGCCTTACCTTACATTTCTACAAGAGGTTGTTTCCGCAACTTGAACCCCTGACCTCTTCCTGGTAACACAGAGGCAGCTCTTATCATTACGCCAAGGTCCCCTTCCATAGGCTGATTCCTTTCTCTGCAATAACATTATTTTTTGTTAAAGAAATGGATCTTGGCCCTAAATCAATCCCAAAAGCTAGCTCAAGAGGTAAGGATTGCTCAAGCCATACTAAGGAAATCACTCATCCCTTAAAGCACCGATGTAGGACTCTTCACACCCGACGCCCCTCATGCCCAGGGATGGACATATGGAGCGTGGGAATTTAATGAGGGCCCAACATCGGGAAATGAGAATTGAGATGAGTGCAGCTCTGGTACCATGTTAAAGAAATAAATCTTGGGCCTACCTTAACCCCAAAAGCTAGCTCAAGAGGCGAGGATTGTCCAAGCCTAAGGAGACCACTCATCCCTTAAAGCACCGATGTGGGACTCTTCACAGTTTTCACCTTGGATAAATATACATGGCTGCTTGATATTTTCTTGCTTCCATAATATGTTAGAACCCATTAGAAAGGCTCCCCTTCCCTGATTATCAACTGATTTGATGCTATATGATCTCGCAGTGGTCCAAGGGCAGTTTCTGTCGTCAATTCATCGTCAGAAAGGCTTGGAGGGACAAGTGTAGTTGCAACAGCTGTTGTGCCAGATGATGAGCAAAAGATAAAAAACATGTTGCAGATGTGGAGTGATGTTGACAAAGTGGATCTTATTCTTACCCTTGGTATGTTCCTAAGTTATTATGGTCATGGTCCCATTTCTTTGCCGAGCTGATAATATTTTTATTAATTACTCTTACTGGATGAGTCAGGTGGGACCGGCTGTACGCCAAGGGATGTTACCCCTGAAGCTACCAAAAGTATGATACAGAAAGAAACACCCGGTCTTCTCTATGTTATGATGCGAGAAAGTCTGAAGGTATCAAAGTTCTCATATCACTGTTATTCCATTGGCATTTTATTCAATTGCATATGTATTAAATTTGGTAAAATTTGGCAGATAGTTTATACACCCTTGTCTGTATAACCTTCACCTAGTTCATTGCCGAAACTATGGGGGCGTTGAAAAACAATGAAAAGATAGAACTAGGTGCACAACCACATGCTCATGTCACAAGGTCTTTGTCGTTTGTTACCACTTCTGAAAAGAAGATAATGTACTTTACAGGTAAAAGATTAGGATAAGAAGACATTCTATGACGTTGTAGGGAGACAACAACAGACCAAGTACTTAGTTGAATTTTTCCCGTCTGCCTAACTTTAATAGACAGAGTTATCCAGTGGATAGTCGAGGTGTCGAGGTGTCTGTAAGCTGGTCCAGACACAGCTGTTATCCAAAAAAGTATATAAATGAAATAAAAGGGAGAAGGAGCAAGCTTTGAAGCTGACTCTGTTCTAGACCAAAAGAGCTGTATCCCAAGCTGCACCCCACCCACCACGAAAAGTATCTCAAGCTTTGAAGTTGACTCTTTTCCTTAAGTATAAAAATGAACGTCGAGAATTCAAGTTAAGCAAGTGAATTTTCTGTCTGCCTTTCTGGTGGCCTTCTTGTATAAAAGCAACGAGGGATGTGTATTATCAAACAACTAATGACGTGACCTTCCTTAGATAACATCAAATATTTAATCTTCCTCAGGATTACTATATATCTCTGTTAGCCCTTCTCTGATGGTTGAACATTTCGCACGCTTACGCAAGGCAGCTATAAATTTTTTCCCTGACCTAGAAAAATATTTGAATTTCTTCTAATTTCATGATGCATCTGACTTCACACAGGTAACACCTTCTGCAATGCTCTCACGTGCAGCAGCTGGAATAAGAGGATCAACACTGGTAAGACCACAAGTCCAATCGTATCTTTATTTGCATGAACCACAAAACACTCCAACACAAGTTAGCCCAAAGTTCCCTCATATGGTTGATAAGCTTAGCCTAAAGTTGTTTCCTTGAGTTATGTTGCAAAGGCCCAAACCAGTTAGCCCATTATGAAATAATTAAAGACCCATTTCTTATAGAGATCCAAGCCATCTCAACTAAAGAAAAGAAAACAGACGTGGAAATAGAGAAAGACACTGTCGACAATCACGAAGGAATTGCAGAGGCAAAACCTTCGACCAAGGCAGCCAGTGACAATGCCATGGTTCTCATCAACGAAATGGAACAACCAGTGACAGAGGATCAAGACAATACCGACATGCAGACTGGGGAGGGGAATTTCTTGGGGGATTGGGGCATAGAAGATGTTCTTCCTTTAAACTCTCTAATCAATGAAGAAGAGGAGGACCCAGAGTTTAACGCTCCAATTTGGGTGCATCAGAATATTATCAGATTGAGCAAAGAATTTGGGATGGAATTTGAAGGGTGTGAGAAAGAAGCTTTCCAGTTATTTATGAAAATAGATGGCAAGAGGCGCAATGCAATGGAGTTTTCATCATCAACAATGGAAGCAGCCACTCCAAAAAAGAAAGAAAGTAAAGAAGTAAGAAACTTAGACATCGGGAGCAAATTCAAAAGTAATGGCACCAGGAGCAAGGGGGTATATGGCCTTAGATAATAAATGATGATTAAAGTTGTTTCTTGGAATGTTAGGGGTCTAAATAGATATAGGAAGAGGGAGTTGATAAAAAATATGATGAGCAGTTGGAAGGCAGAAATCTACTGTTTTCAAGAGACCAAAGTAGAAGGGGAAATTAGAGACATTGTCAGAGACTTGGGTGCGTATAGGTGGGTGAAATTTGCTCAACTAGAAGCAAGTGGTACGAGAGGGGGTATTTTAGTTATGTGGGATAGTAGGGTATGGGAAGGGGAAATCAGTAGTGTGGGGATGTAATCCATTACAATCAAGTTCAGTGGTAAAACACAAGAGTTTTTATGGCATTTATCCAGCATTTATGCTCCCAACGATAGAAGGGAAAGAGAAGAAGTATGGTGGGAGGTGGGTGCTGCGACGGGTTTATTCCCTGGGCCTTGGGTAGTGTGTGGGGATTTCAATACTATTAGATACCCGTCAGAGAAGAAGAATTGCAACAGATTCACCAGATCAATGGCAGATTTCTCTGAATTTATCAATGATATAGGGCCAGTAGACTTGCAATTGTTGGGAGGTAGTTTCACTTGGAAGAAAGGGGTTGAACACAATATTGCTGCTAGATTGGATAGGTTTCTAGTATCTGAGGAATGAGATGTAAGGTTTAGGAAAATCAAACAGTCTATACTTCACAGGGTCACATCAGATCACTCTCCTCTGTTGCTTCAAAGTGGGAACTGGGAACCAGTTAAATCCTATTTCAAATTTGAAAACTGGTGGTTATTGACTGAAGGCTTTAAAGAGAGAGTCAAATGTTGGTGGGAATCTTTCTTCTGTGAAGGTAGACCGATTATGTTCTAGCTTTCAAATTGAAAGCCCTAGAGGAGAAACTCAAAGAGTGGAGCAAATCAATACAAGGCAGTTTGAAGATGCAGAAACTGAATATACTTGCCAATTAGTTGAACTGGAGGAAACCCAAGAATGGAGGATGCTGAATGATGAAGAGAAACACAAAAAATACACCTTATTGATAGAGTTTGAGGAAAATGCTAGGAAGGAGGAGATAGCTTGAAGGTAAATGTACAGAGCTGTATGGTTGAAATAAGGGGACAGAAGTACCAAGTTCTTTCACAAAACTGCTAATGCACACAAAAGATACAACAACATTGATAACTTACAAGTGAACGGAGAAATTGTGGAGAATCCTGAAGATATCAAGAGGGAGATAGTTGCTTATTATCAAAATCTATACACAGAGACTGAGGATTGGCGTCCACACTGCAACCTAAGGGACTGTCCCACCATCAATACAGAAGATAACCAGATGCTATTGAGTCTTTTTGACCCACAGGAAATTTGGGAGAGTGTACACCATGGCATTCTATACTCAATGCGGGGAAGTGATAGGCTCATATGTGATTGCTGCTGTCCAAAACTTCCATGCAAATGGGACCTTTGAAAAGAGCTTCAATGCCACCTTGGTGGCTTTGATTCCAAAGAAGGTGGGAGCTAAAGAACTGAAAGACTTCAGGCCCATTAGCCTGATAGGAAGTTTCTACAAAATAATTTCAAAGATCATGGCAGAAAGAATCAAAAAAGTCATTGGCAAATTGGTGGACACTCAACAGATGGCCTTTATCAAAGGTAGGCAAATCATGTATCCTATCCTAACTGCAAACGAGTGTGTTGATGTTAGAATGAAGAGCAAGAAACCTGGCATTCTATGTAAGCTAGACATAGAAAAAGCTTATGACCATCTGAATT